TTGACCCGGATAACCAGCTATCACCATACCAAATTTCATCAAAATCTGCCCAGTGGTTTTCTCGTGGTGCGTTAACAGATAGACAGACAGACAAAAATTCTAAAAACTATAGATTCGGACTCTGTATCGATAATAATGTTTATTTCAATAATATTCCAAAAAATATCTAATGTACAGATTTGGCTTAGTAACCAATTTATTATATGTATAGATATATGCACCTACCAGAGAAAAATAAATAGTTCGTTACTTAAGATCTGTAATTGTTTATAACCATAAATTAAAAATGCAACCATAAATACCAAGCAAGGTAATGTATAGTGGACAAGATACTACTACTAAGACCTGGCGCTGCTCAATCACTGCGTTGTCATAGATTTGTTATTAAAAATGAATTATTTTGTCTCGGAATAAAACCTTCTACAGATTTCCTTCTGTAGAGAAGTAACAACACAAAATATATAGATTGTGATAATATTTTTGCAATTAAAAAATTATAAAAATGTGTAGAATAAAAAAACTTCATTTTGTAAACAAGGAGGTCTTTCAAACAAAAAAAACACACACACACTACCTTTTTTCTTGTTTAATATTACCCACAAACATTTTTGACTATGAATAGATCCCAATAAGTAACAAGACGTAGAGCGAGAAAGCGCGGCGGTCTCTTTCTGTACGCGCAACGAATGCTTAGTTTTTCCTTCGTAATTTATACGCGCGAGTGACTCGGGTGCCTCTCTGTTGGTAATGTTAAGGACTTTCCACAAAGTATAATTTTTTTTGATATTTTACTAACGATTTATCCACGCTTTGCTTAGGCGTCTTTTTTATTCATGATATTATTTATAGGCACTGTCACTTTTTGGCAAATTTCATTTTTAAAAGTATCTTATGTGCTACTCCAGCTAATAGTCTATCTGTATACTTAGTACATTTCATCCAAATCGTTCCAGCTGTTTCAATGTGAAGGAGTAACAAACATACATGCATACATACATAAATTTTCGCATCTATAATAGTAAGTAGTCCGATATATAATGATAATAAATATGTTGGGGCATTAACGCACAGCACCATCTAGTTCCATGGTAAGCTACGAGGCTTGTGTTAAGGATACCAGATAGTGGATACACTACACATATTATATAACTTTAAATACATTCATATTATAAATGTAAACACCCTTGACTGGAATCAAACATTCGTGCTCATCGCACAAGTGAACGTCCCCAGCGGGACTCAAACCCGCGACCGCTGGCACAGCAAGCAGGGTCACTACAATATCTATCTATATTTATCTCAGAATATTTTGGATGAATTATGAAATTGTAAAATTTGCAGTTCTATCCGTTTTTAGCGCATTTATTGACCTTTTTGATCACGCTGCGTCACATTATTTTCTTTTGTAATTTAGAAGTAAAGTCAGGATATATTAGAACTAATAAACTTCTAAGCTTAGCTTCTATTGAGTAGTCAATGAAATATTTAAATTGTTTTAATTAAAAGTTACCAGGGTTTACCAGTGCTTCCTCCGATAGGTATACATACATGTACATATATCAATAAAAAATGGCAACAAATTAGCAAAGTACAAGTTGGTGGACTTCACACATCTTTTATGAACTTCTGATGTTCTCTCAATATTCAAGTTTCCTCACGATGTTTTCCTTCGCTGTATTAGCAAGTGTTGATCACGTCAAAAAAGATTTGTACATGAAAATCTCAGTCCAAGATCAGGGTTGGAGTCTGCATCACCTAAATTCGAAGCGAGCACGTTACCAATCTGCTTATGTACGTACTAAATATACATATAATATAGGTACATATATAATATGATTAAAAATATTAATATTTACGTGACTGTATCCTTCGGGATCGATTTTTTTAAAATAAAATGGAATGGATTCTCAGATATATCCAAAAATGTGTAATATTTTGTTTTAGAAAGAAGAAAAAGAAACGCTGTAATCATAGTCGCCCTACCGGCCGCCGGTAGCTGCTTCCCCTAATTTATCCTGTAAGCGATCTCTCGCCGACGGATTGTGGAATGTATATTAAAATTTCGCCATATTTTCTTCACCTAAAACGTGTCATTTACTTGGATTTTCAGTATGAAAATATATTAAATATACTAGCAAGACTCGTGACTTTACTTGTGGCGTAATAATTGAACATAGTTTCGGTTCATTTTAGTTTTAATTACTAACGGCTCATCCATACTTCGATCGGCTTGGCTTCTAAAAAACAAAACAAGTCTATCCCACGGGAACCATGCGTTTTTCCGGGATAAAAAGTAGCCTATGTGCTATTCCAGACTATAATCTATATCTGTGCCAATTGAGTAAAGAACATCTATCTATCCACTCTCATAAAATTTCACATTTATAATATTAGTAGGATTTACTCTTTCACCGATTTGAAAAAAGAAGGTTTGTTCTATTTATAGTAATAAATCCTACTGTTTATTATTTATAGTAATAAATGTAGTAACATTCTATTTATTTTTGTGCAACATCGATGATAATTGTAAGATAATTGTTTTTGAAAAGTGGTTTCAAAAAAAGTCTACGCCCAAAGATAGGATACTTTTAAAACGATATTTAAAGTCAAGTTATCCTTTGAAAAAGTAACCGTAAGTTATGATAAAGAATAAATTTGTGCAACCTTTTTAGTTCCAAATTAAAACGAAAATAAATAGAAAGCCAATACTTTTCTTTATTTAATCTATCTGGAACGGAAGTGTCACGGAGTGGTTCTTTTCGCCTTTATACGTACATAGGTACTTGGATATTGATAATGGCAGCCGCCCTTTTTAGCTACTAATGAAATTTTTGCTGTTCTACAATAAATTGAAACTTATTACAATATACTATTTAGTTATTCATTCCAGCCGTTTCGAAGATTAGCAGACAGACAGACAGTTTTTTTTAAACAAAGGTATTTTTCTTATAAGCCCTGTATATAATTTCATATGCATATAGTAAAAAACTGTTATATTGATATTACATACAGACATTTCAATGTTATTTTGTACAGATAAATAAAACTAGCGATTTTCCAAGATTCCATCTGTGTAGCTTATTTGTGTTTATAAATTATATCTGTTCTCTTATTTATAAGTATATATATATATATATATATATATATATATATATATATAGATACATATTATATATATATATATATATATATAATATGTAGCTTTAAAGTTTAATCAAAATCTATTAAGTATTTTTTGCTTTAACGAGTAACGAATTCACTCCTCCATTCAACTTGAAATTAGCGTAATTATTTGTACTTTGCTTGTCCCTGAAAGTTTAGCGCACGGCGGCGGGAATGATATAATAAACAGCTGTAATAATATACCATTTTCGGCTTCAACTAGTATTTTTAGTATTTTTGTAGTCTGTGGTTAAAATATATTCATCTTATAGAAATAGGAAACCTAAATTATTTTACTATAAAGGCACACGAATTTTCTGCAGTATTTTTATTAGGAAAAGGTTCACCGAAAAAAAAACAAAATTTTAAACATATTCACTATATTTTTAATATTTTCTTTACATACACTGTATCGTACATACTTCCTTGTAATATATAATACAAACTTATAAATTATTTCTAATAGAAACTTAGTAGGTAGGTACATTGTTATTTACACGATGTATCAGAATGATCTAATATATAACAGAAAAGAAAAAACTTAGTTTAGACTCGGTGTTACCAGATTTTATAATAAAATTTAGGAATATTGTTCAAAATTATATTGCTATTAAATAAATTATTCTATTCTATTTCCATTAAATTTAAAATACCAAGTTTAAGAAGCAAGAATGAGGAATTCTATTATTTTAATTAACTAATTTCAAATCACTCTGTAATTTTTATTTCAAAATACACGTAGAATAGCTAATATTCTAAATATAAAAATGCTCCTTAAATAAATGTCACGATAATAATTAAATTAATAATACTGATAAAAGATGCCGTTGCAATTTATTTATAAATTATTTTTACACTCAGATTATTTCTGTTTTATAATCTGAGTTTTTACAATCCTTAACAATATGGCAATAATTAGCAACTATATTTATTTATTTCTACTTATTTTAAATCACTACTTTTGTATTATTTACTAATTTATTTGGCCTGTATCAGTTCAAATTAACTTACCTTATGAAGTGGTATACTTGATGTAGGCAAGTTATTACCAGAAAATGTAATGTCATAATGACAATTAAAATGGCGGTCTCTAATGATTACACAATATTATGTACAGATAATATATACCTAACAATTTTTATTTTTTAATTTTTAATTACACGAAGAGGAACTGGTCGTATTTGTTCATTCTTTTGATCTATTTTAATGTGTGAAAAGTAGGTAGACATATTTCTTTCAAGTCATTACATTTTCTGTATTATTCCTATTTTAGGTTTACTGCCCTATCTATGTACTTTATATTTATTAATTTTATTATTAATATGGAAATATATTTTAGTTTAGTTACTTAAAAATTATAGCTAATTTAATAATTTTGTTCACGTTTCTCGCTGGGTTTTATAAAGTTTTAAATAAGTAATTTTGTAAGATTTGATTGCTAAAAAAATTACTAATCATTCAAATGAAAACTTAAGTTTAATTCAATGGTTTCATATTTAATGTAAGAGACGCGCACATTATTGCACATGTAATTCAAAATGTTTTTTAAATTACACATTTGCTTTAAGAATTATTTAGTAACTTAATAAAAGAATAAACAACAAAAAAATAAAAAATAAAATACTTATTTAATTCGTATAACATATAGGTACATAACCTAGTCATAATATATTTAAAATGCGTGTATTTTACAACGAAATACTTATCATTGCTTAGGTTTTACAAAAAAAAAACTTAATTTATCTAAGACTAGATTAAAAAAACAGCGTATACACACGATCTATCTCAGTATCTTTTTAACTAAAATTGATTAATAAACAAAAATTTAATTATTTTCATACCACATACGGCCTAAACATGTCGATCCCTGGTCTGCCATCTTGGTTCATAACAACCAACCCGCGTCTATTGTTTTCCAAATTGGAATTAAAATTGGCGGCCGCCATAGCTCTTTCTCGCTCTAGCGCAATGATTCGGTCTCTGTCTAACATAGGGGGCGGTTTGACAGCTGTCAAATCAGCAGCCATTGTAGGTTGTTTATCGTGGTCGGACGTTTCTTTGGGTTTCTTTTCATCGCTGGTGTGCGGTTCTTTACTTTTTGTATCTTGTTGCGCTTTTTTAGACCGTTTCCACTTCATTCTTCGGTTTTGGAACCATATTTTGACCTTTAACAACAAAAATACAATTATTATTAAGGCATTTGTTTTTTCAGTCTAACTTTTTTTAGGGAGACCTTTTGCAATAAATGCCCGCATCAAAAATAAATTATGTATATTCATGGTATTTTACTTATATTATCACCCAACTTACAATTTCGCTCCTAAATTGGGCGCAAATAATCACAATAAAAAATAAACAGCCTAAATAGCTAAGTCAAGAAAACTTTTTTCATCCAAGTCTCTAGCTTATGATATATTACATGAGATTAAAACGACCCACATAAAAGCCCTACGCCATAACGTTTATGGCGTATTTCACCGCCCCTGTAATCTTGTAAAGCATGTAAGCTCAAATCCGGGCATCGTTCAACTTGACAGCCACTTGCGAATGTCAAAATAGGGTTGTTTTTAGTGTCGAGGGACGTAAAAAGTGAATTTGGGTTATTTAACTATGACGTAGGTAGTTTACGGGATATTTTAGCTAGGATTGAAGTGTGTTTGGTTGTTCACTTTTTATAGTGCAACTTAACTGCAGATCCTTTTGATTTGGCTGCCCTTTTGTTTTTTTTATATACATATATCTAATGGTATATAATTTTTGATGGTATTAAATTCTTTATATCTAAAGCTGTTAAATTAAAAAAATAACTGTAAAGATATATTTGAAAGAGCATGGAAAAGTTTTTTATGAATAGACAAGTACTATCAAAAATGTATCTGTATTTGGTATTAAATTATTTGCTTGATATAAATCGAAATACGAGTTTAAAATTTTACTGCGAAAAAACCTATGTTTTGTTAAATTAAAGTGTTAGTACTGAAGTATTTGGTGTTCACATCGATATGTTATTTTAGTTGAATTTTATTATTGTTAAGTTATCTGCTATTATAAGAACATTTGTATAGTACAGATTTTTCAATTACGAAACTGTAAAAGATTTTAACGAAGTGAGAACCTTCTCCTTTTGGAAGTCGGGTAATAAATAGTCCCTTACCTGTGTCTCAGTGAGCATCAAACTGGTTGCCACTTCGAATCTTTTCGGCCTGGACAAGTACTTGTTCATGCGGAACTGCTTTTCTAACTCCAAAAGCTGCTGCGAAGTGAAAGCGGTGCGTGGGCGTCTGGTCTTCCCGAGGAGTGCGTGTGGAGCTCCTGTGAAAAGTCCTCAAATTACTACCTATATCTAAAACTAAACTAAAAATATAATTGCATAAAATAAAGTTTTTTCAACTATCAGAGGGCTTATCTACTCTTAACAACAATTTAAGGCCTTATGTGAATCGTTTCGGTATTTCTTAGCAACTTTCGTATGACGATCTGTGGAACCAGCTATCGCCGGCGGTCTTTCCGAACCGCTACGACCTGGCCATCTTCAAGAAGAGAGCGTACTCTTTCCTTAAAGGCCCATGTACATCTGCAAGCTCTGCGATGTTGCAGATGTCCATGGGCGGCGGTGATCACTTTCCATCAGGTGAGCCTCCTGCCCGTTTGCTACCTTAGTTCCATAAAAAAAAGACGTTAAATTTAGGTCACAGCTTAAATAAGATCTGACATGAACATTCAAAAGTTAATGTCATTCATTCAATCCGGGCCAGTTCCCAGAGCTATGCGATGGATTTTCTCAGTAAGATGCAAGTGTTGGAATTCAAAATCTATTACTTCAGTTTTACATCTATACTAATATTATAAAGATTTAAAGTTTGTTAGTGAGTTTGTGAAATCTACTGAACCGATTTAGATGAGTAAGAAGATAGTTTAAGACCCTGGGAAAGACAGGATACTTTTTATCCCGGAAATCATTCCTTAAGGGGGTGAAAATGGGGATAAAATTTTGTATGGGGAATCAAGCTAGGAACGAACCCGAGCGAAGGGAGGGTGAGTCGCTAGTACAGAGTATAAAATAATTTGTCGTACCTAGACTTCCTTGAGTTTAGAAATCGTCTTTCCAATACGAAATAATAATAATAACCGAAACAAAATCCGATATATTGCATACTTATATCGATAATAATAATCAGATAAAGCAAATTAGTCAGAATTCCATCGATGCACGAGATAAGTTATTTTAATTACGCCGATTGTAGTGTTGTTTTCGATTATCTCGTTAATTGTTTCAATAATTGCCCAACACTATCTCTACTTGATAACCGAACAAACAGACATTTCGACGCCTAATTATTAAGCCTAGCTATTGTCGATAGTTTCGTCCGAGGGCGGCGGCAGAATTATTTCCAAGAGGGTGCATCTGCTTCTTCACATTAAACTACTAATCTTTAAATGATTAACTTTATAATTTTTATTCATATCTTATTTATCGTCTTTTCTTTGAAGATATTTAAACTTAAGCAGGGATTTTACTCATATAATTTAATTTTTTTAACTTTTTCTATAAATTTTCCATCATGACAAAGGTACAAGTGCACCCCCTTGCAATCCCCTATCGGCGTCCATGGCTATGTCTATATGATTTTTAAGTAACTTCAAAGTAGTAGTAGGTATGTGTAATTATTTTCATACGATATTACTTAGTCTAAATTTTTAAAATGAGGACTATGGTAGACCTTGCAATAAAATAAAGTGTAAATTCTATTAAAAAAAGAAATAAAAATGCACAAAATACTAAAAATCTGGTAACAACAAGCCTGACTCACACACCAAGAGGTCCGCAGCGTGACAAACATTTTTACTATATGTTTTGACACAAAAATAAAATTATTATGTAAGCAATAAAATGTGCGGTAAAAAAACGGCAAGGACGCACGCAAGTGAATCAGGCTCAAACAGCTAAAAACTGTTAATTAATCAAAAGCCACTAGGTTTATACCTATGATATTATTAATAACTATTATAATAAATCTTTTAAGAAAATTTCAAATTCCACAAATAGTAGATCGTGGGTTTGGCACATTATCAAACGATCGCATTAAAGTTTGTAGGATTATTTTATTTTGACTTCAACTTGGCGCATAATTTTCTGTTAAGCTCGTTTAGTCTGAAAACTTTAAAGCAATGTGTAAAAGTAAAAATTCTACTTGGCTTTTTTTAGGCTTTTAATGTAAATCTCACGTATTACATAACAGTAATCACACCACTATTTAATAATGCGAAGGTTTATATGTTCATTGTTCACGTTCTCTCACGATTTGGCCGTGTAGAGAGATAGTGCAGGGACTTAGAATAATACTTTGGCTGTTATTAATAAAAGTTGCTAAAAAGTGGCGCTGTCTCTATGATATATTACTAGCGACTCACCCTTGCTTTGCTTCGGGTTCGTCCCTAGTGGAAAACAAAAACATCTATCCCACGGGAACCGTACATTTGTGCTATCCCAGACTATAATCTATCTCTTTGCCACATTTCATCTAGATCCGTTCGGCCGTTTTCGCTTGAGTAACGAACAGCCATCCATTCTCACAAACTTTCACATTTATAATATCAGTATGGATTATTATAAATAGAAAAGGCCCTCCTTAGGTGTCTTCTCGGACGAACGAGAGTATCAAAGTCGCGAGAAAGTCGCATTATGTATTGAAGCTGTTTGCAATTTGTTTTACTTCTTAAACTTAATGAAAAAATAAACAAATTTTAAAGAGAAAAATTTTGTATATAACCTATACAATTATGTCAAATCCTTAAATCAAATAAAATATTAAACTAATTCTCGTTAATCTCATAAAAATGATAATCATCAATTAGTGACGGGATTGGGGTGACATTTGGCGCTGTTTGCGCAGATAACGAACAAATAAACGCAGCTGTCAACTTGACAGTTACGTCATAAGGTTCTTTGTGATGTGGAGATTGTATTTATTAATAGATATTTTTCTAATAATTATCGAGTAATGCGAGAGATGTTTTTGTAATGTATGAATAAGGTATATACCTATTTAATTTGATTTGATTAAAGAAAATATTCCAAAATTATGCCAATATTTTTTAATACATTGAATATATTACTTTAACTATAGTCACATATAGGTATACTCGTATGTAAAAAAAATGTAACTATTTAAGTAAGAATTTAAGGTGACTTTAAAAAAAAACCAATAAGGGTAGGAAAATTTTATTTAAATAAGAACCTATTTCTTAGAAGTCGGGAAAAAAGGATGAATGATAAAAGCCATTGCTCTACAAAAAGACTACGTTTGTCCTTTAAAAAAGATCACAAACATTTTAAAGATATTTAAAAGTAAATTAAACATGGCGATTTAAAATAAACAGAAAATCGTGCCTAAGGGTCCCGATGATCATTTGAAATATTTGTTGTACGTGACTCTTCCTTTAATAACTTTAGTTGTAATAGTGAGGGTATTGTAAATAAATTATGTTCATCGTTGTTACGTTCAACAAAATCGAAATAGAGAGTTTACAGATATTTAGAACTAGCGACTCACCCTTGCCTCGCCTCGGATTCGTCCCTAGACAAAAACAAATCTATCCCACGGGAATCGTACATTTTTTCGGGAGGATAGCCTATAGCCTCCCTCAATAAACAGGCTATCTAATGCAAAAAGAGTTTTTCATATCGGACTAGTAGTTCCTGAGATTAGCGCGTTCAAACAAACAAACAAACAAACAAACACACTCTTCCTCTTTATAATATTAGTATAGACTTAAAGTTTTGGTAAATTCATACCGCATTTTATAACATACTAGTTTTTGCCCGCGGCTTCGCTCGTTCTAAGTAGGGCAGGGTCAAAGGTAGCCTTTGTCCGTTCCTAGGATCCAATCTATGTCTTGGCCAAATTTTATCGAAATCTGTTCATCGGTTTAAGCGTGACAAAGTAACAGAGAGTTACTGTCTCATTTATAATATTAGTATGGATTAACTGAGGAAGGTTATATATTCTTATGCTACTAACCCTTAGGAATAGATTTTTATATGTATATCTAAATAGACGTATCAGGAGGAGCAGCGTGCAAAAGTTAGTCTACACATAAAATAAAACAAAAAGTAATATAAGAAATCTATTCTAATATTATAAAGAGGAAAAAGAAATGTTTTTTTGTTTGTTTGTTTGTTTGTATCGAATACGCTCCGAAACTGTTGAAGCGATTTAGATGAAATTTTGTAAGAAGATAGTTTAAGATCCTGGAAAGGACATAGGACAGTTTTTATACCGAAAATCATCCCTTAAGGGTGTGAAAATGGGGATGAAAGTTTGTATGGGGAATCAATCTATTTGAATAAAAATGCGACTTTATAAGGCGAATATTCTGCATTTTGATGGAAAATAATCTCATAATCTCACCACTAATACCCATCATGATTTAACTCAACACTAGCTTCAAGTAGCCCCCGATCCTATAATAACAGAACAGTACTCGTATATACGTTTCGTTAGAGTTCATTGACAATAGCGTTAAGTCGCGCCGTCGAGCAAAACGTCCAATCAACTGATTTGATTATATCCAAACGTCGCCTGAACTACGTAATATAATATAATACTTACTTATACTTCTTTGTCTGGAAGTAAAAATATATATTGAAATATAAGCAAGTGTCTGTGGGTTTGTTCGTGTTTTATTTGGAAGAGTTTTGAGAAGTGGTCAGATTAATAAGAGAGAGTGTCATAGAAGTAAACACGAAGCCAATGAATAATGTTTTAAAATCTATACTAATATTATAAATGTGAAAGTTTGGATGGATGGATGTTTGTTGGCTGAATGGATCTGGATGAAATTTGGCACAGAGATAGATTATAGTCTAGAATAGCACATAGGCAACTTTTTATCCCGGAAAATTTATGATTTTCGTGGGATAGATTTGTTTTAGTTTAGGGACGAACCCGAAGCGAAGCGACGGTGAGTTGCTAGTATTAGGTATATAATGTTTTAAAATAACATACAAATATTATTATAGGAGAGTCATTACTGTAAATAGTAAGTAAGTGTTAATAAATAAAAATAGCTAACGGATTTAATTATATGTATCTACCTATACATATAATAAAATTGTAACTAAGCCGAATCTGTACATTAAATATTTTTTGGAAAATCTTACTGAAATAAACATTATTATCGATACAGATGCCGAATCTATAGTTTTTAGAATTTTTGTCTATCTGTCTGTCTGTTACCGCATCACAGAAAAACCACTGGAGGGATTTTGATGAAATTTGGTATGGTGATAGCTGGTTGTCCGGGTCAAC